CCTGCCTCTGCCTCCTGGGTGCTGGGATTAAAGGCGTGTGCCACCACACCCGGCTAGAAGACAGACTTTTAAAAAAATATATTTTAGGGGCTGGAGAGATGGCTCAGTAGTTGAGAGCATTGACACTCTTGCAGAGGACCTAGGTTCAATTCCCAGCACCCACATGGCAGCTACGAACTGTCCTTAACTCCAGTTCCAGGGGAATCTGAAGCCCTCTTCTGAGCTTCACGGCATTGCATGACACAGGTGCACTCACATACACGCAGGCAGTACACTCATACACATAAAAAAAATTATTGAATGTATATGAGTGTATTGCCTGCGTGTATGTAAGTGCACCCATGTCATGCAATGTCCTTGAAGATCAGAAGAAGGAGTCAGATCCCCTGGAACTGGAGTTACAGACAGTTGTTAGCCATGTGGGTGCTTTGTGGGTGCTGGGAACCGAACCCAGGTCTCTGCAAGAGTAGCCAGTGCTCTTAACTGCTGAGCCATCTCTCCAGCCCCTAAAGAGACTTTTTTAAAGCCCTGAACAACTGAAGGTTTGGGGGCAGGGGGGCTTAGAGTAGGAAGGGGGAAAGTTACTATTACAACTTTGGATGCATTAAGTTTGAGGTTTTCTTGGTCAATCAAGGACATGCTGAGCAGGATGTACAATCTAGATTTCAGGGGAGTCGTCCTAGCTAGAGCCAGGGGTACCCAAGTTGTTAGTTTCTAATTGGTTAAAGTCATGGGCCTTGAGGAGAGTGTCAAAAAAGCAAGCAAGTGTCCTAAGGATCAGGAGTGACATCCTGGGATGTCTGCTAGGGAGTGGGGGAGCCAGGAAGGGAACCCTGCTTGGAAGATGGAATAAGTCATTGGCAAGGTGGGAGGAAGAGGACTATGGAGTCCTGGAAGCCAGATGAAGGAAGGGAGATGACCAACTCTTTCACCTCTCGCACACTCAGGTCTCAGCCAACTCATTAATTCGTTCATTCAGCAAGCACATATCAAATGCTTATTCCACATCAGGCACCAAGTTAGGGGAACATTTCCAGGTCCCATAGGGTAATTTGGAGTGTGTATTTTGAGTTAGCTGGGCAAGATTGGTCTGTGACAACGTTGTGGTCTGAAGCTGAGCTGAAGGAAGGAAAGACCTTGAGAAAACAGGCTGATTTTGCCCTACGTAGGCCCTGGAAACAGATCTAGGGCCATCCAAGCCTCAGTCATGCTGCTGTTGCTAGTGGAGAGGCCAAAGAACCAATTGGGGGCAGGGGTGGAATTAGGCCACTGAGCCTGGCTGGAGTTCTCTGGGGGACCCCCTGCAGGTCCTGACCTGAGATGGGGGGCCCTGAATGGGAGGCTGAGACTTCCAGGGTGGACAGAGGAGGGCAAGGGCAGAAGAGAGGTAGCAGCAAGAACATCTTCCACCAGCTCCATCAGTCTTTGAGCTGGTGTCTTCAGCCTTGCAGTGCCTGGAGGAGACCTGGTAGAGTGCATCTCTCCACAGAGCTGAGGCCAGAGACAGGATGATTCAGGCCCTCAGAACCGGTGAAAAGTTAGCACCACTCCACTTGGCAATCCCAGCCCCACTGGCCATCTGGCTTCAATTTGCATATCTTCGGAGTATGGGTGGCTCATCACCTCACCAGTCATCTCTGTTCTGACTGTAAGAAAGACGGTTTTGCAAAAGAAACTAGAAAAACCTTCAGGAATGTTGAGGCTGAGGGGGGTGGGGTGGAGTGTGGGAGGATGGGGATGGGGGTGGGGATATGGAGGAGAGGATGGCGGTCCAGGCCATGCTGGGTGCTGGGCTCGGTCCTCACTCCGTCTCCCTTCCCCATGCAGTGCTGGTGCTGCTGATCCTCACTCTCAGGCGCCATCATAAGAGCCACCTGAGCTCCGATGAGGAGGAGGACATGCGGGACAACGTCATCAAATACAATGACGAGGGCGGCGGCGAGCAGGACACCGAGGCCTACGACATGTCGGCGCTGCGGAGCCTCTACGACTTCGGGGAGCTCAAGGGTGGCGACGCGGGCGGCGGCCGGGCCAGTCCCCCGCAGGCGGGCCTGGCCTCGGAGCTGCACCCGCTGCCGCAGGAGGCGCCGAGCCCGGAACCGGACTTCTCAGTGTTCAGGGACTTCATCAGCCGCAAGGTGGCGCTGGCGGACGCGGACGTGTCGGTGCCGCCCTACGACGCCTTCCAGACCTACGCTTTCGAAGGCGCGGACTCGCCGGCCGCCTCGCTCAGCTCGCTGCACAGCGGCTCGTCGGGGTCCGAGCAGGACTTCGCCTATCTCCACGGCTGGGGCCCGCGCTTCAGGCCGCTGGCTGCGCTCTACGCCGGCCACCGCGGGGACGACGAGGCCCCGACCTCCTAGCCCCAGCCTGGCCATCCTCCCTGCGCGGCCCGACGGCAGGGTACTTGGAGGGCTCCCCCTTCGCGACACGCCCCCAGGGGATGCAGCTGAGGGGGAAACCAGGGATGGCGAATGGTGACCAAGAGGAGGGAGGAACACCCAGCGGCTCTGGGGTCCGAAAGGGTGATGGAGATGGAGCCCCCCCGCGGTGGGGAAAGGACCTGGGAGAAGATGGAGGAAGGTGATGCTGCCATGCCCATGCCCAGGCTTCCCTCCCTCATCCAAGTTAAGAGGAAAGAAGGGCTGTTCATTTATTAAGCGCCTACTGTGTGCTGGGAGCTACTGGGAGAGCATCTGCATGGTCATGGAAACCATGAGGTGGGATCTTGCAGGTGTCAGATGGGAAAGCCCCCCAGAGAAGTGCTTGTGACCTACCCAGGGGCACCCCAGTGAGTGACAGAGTCTCTGGCACTGACTGGCTGCCTGACCTTGGGCAAGTCACCTCATTTCTCTGGGCCTCAGTTTCCTCATCTGTCAAATGAGGCTAATAACAGCACCTACCTCTAGTGTCGAGCTGGCACAGAGTAGGTGTTCAATAAATGCTAGCCTTTGTTACCATTCTCTTCTCTGTGCTCACTATGGGCCTGGTGTGACTGCCCCCCAGGCCTGAGTTCTCTCCCTCACCCCAGTGACCCTTTGCCTCCTCCCAACTCTCCAGAGGAGGAGGAATTGGTACCAACTCTCAGCTCTTGATCCTCCATGAGGAAGCCAGGGCAGGGATGCTCCTGGGGACTCTAGAGAACTTCCTGAGTCTTGGGCTACACCAAAATAGGACCCCTAACAGGGGTGTTAAGAAAGCACAAAGCAGGGTGACTCCCCAAGTGGGTGGGGAGGGACGAGCTAGATACAGTTATGACCTTATCTGTCTTGCTGTGGGAACTCAAGTCTTTACCTTCATGGATCCTAACCTAAGATCCCCTGGCCTAGACATAGTGTCACATACCTGCAATTCCAGCCTTTGGGATACTGAGGCAGGAGGATTGCTGTGAATTTCAGGCCATTCAGAACTACATAGAAAATCCTATATTTAAAATTTCTTTTTTAAAAAGGAGCCAGGTATGGTGGCTTATGCCTTTAATCCCAGCACTCAGGCAGGTGGATCTCTGTGAGTTCAAGGCCAACCTGGTCTACATTGTGTGTTCCAGGCCAGCTGTGACTACAGGGAGACCCTGTCTCAAAAAAACAAAAAACAAAACAAAAAAAAAATGGGGATGTAGCTCACTTGGTAGAGTGCTTGCCTAGCATTCACAGAGCCCTGGGTTCCCTCCCTAGCACCATATAGATAAGCTATGGTGGGGCACACCTGTAATCTCAGCAACAGAAGGATCAGAAGTTCAAGGTCTTCCTCAGCTACCTAATGAGTTCATAGCCAGCCTAGACTACATGAGATCCTGGGTATGAGACAATGGCAGTCTCTTGTCCTCTATCCCAGTCCTGCTGGGGTGACTCAGTGATTGCACATGGGCCTGGTGTGAATTCCAGTTCCTGCCATCTGGGCATCTTTCATCCAAGTGCTCCAACTGCTAAAACCTGTTTGCTTAGTAGTAAAGTAGGGGTGATGGTTTGCTTCGAGGCAGATAAAAGGTAGTGAGTACTAAGTCTCCATCAGAGCCTTCCTGACATGTGGGAAGTGCTCAATAAACGCTCTTTGACCTTACCTTGTCACCCAGGGAACTCTCACTCATCCATTCCATGTTGTAAAGGTACACAGTGGTGGATTCAGAGGCAGCCCATGTGCCCTGAACACCATCATAGTTAGGTCCCCCAGTACAGTTCACAGGCCAGGAAACAGGCTCACAGCAGCAACATGCCCAAGGTTATACAGTCAATAAGTCATTCCTTTTTATATTAAAAATTGTATCATTAGTGAGGGGAGGCACTTGTGTGCCATGCCATGTGTATGCATATAAGGATCAGAGGATAACTTGCAGGAGTTGGTTCTCTCCTTCCACCCTGGATTCCAGGACTAAACTCAGGTGGTCAGGCTTGTGTGGCAAGTGCTTTTACCTACTGAGTCATCTCACCAGCCTCAATAAGTAGTCCTTGCCCTCCAGTAGCTCCAGACCTATCAGGGAAAGGCAGAAACCACCAGTCATAATGTCTTTGATACAGCAAAATAAATAGAAAACAGTCCTGAAAATGCTGAAGGAGGACTAGATAATTCCTGAAGGACTTCCTGGAGAAGGTGACTCCTACTGGGTCTTGAAGAATAAGCATGAGTTGGATCCAATGGCCAGGCATGCAGGAGCAGCTAGACCAGCATCTGCAAAGGCCAGATTGGGTTGGGCAGGTGTGTGATCCCAAGGGCTGGATCATGAGGAGGAGGACTCGCTGAGCCAGGGAAGGCTAAGGGAAGAGCTTGAAGGCCAGGCTAAAGAAGCTGATGCTAGCCGGGCCTCGCCTTTAATCCCGGCACTCGGGAGGCAGAGGCAGGCAGATCTCTGTGAGTTCAAAGCCAGCCTGGTCTACATAGTGAGTTCCAGGCCAGCTACAGAGAAACCCTGTCTCAAAAAGGCCAAAAGAAAAAAGGAAAAAAAAAAAAGAAGAAGAAAGAAAAAAACTGATGCTTGCTCACTTTGAACCTCAGTGAAAGACGCCCAGCCAGCAGGAACTAGAATTCACACCAGGCCCATGCCCAGCCACTGAATCACCTGGGAGACTGGGAGGAAGGACAGAAAATTCCCATTGTTTTAGAATCATAGCTTTGGAGCTGGAAACTTTTGGAGACACTTAGCCCATCTGCTGATGGCCACTGTGGTGGCTGGTGGCAGGGACATGGGTGATGAGTGAGACAAGCCGGAACAGGGGACAAGGGAGCTACAGATCCTCCTACTGGAGACCCTCCGACCCTGGCTCCTGTACTTCATACCAAATGAGCGTTGTGACTCAGAGGCAATGCACAGTCACCTCTCATCCTGTGTGGCTAGTTTTCACGGAGCCAAGAGACAGCTCTGAGGTTGGATGTTGCTATGTCCCTTATGGGGCGGGGGGCAGGGGGGGACTGAAACTATGGGATTAAGGTGACTGGTTCAAGGTCACCCAACTGATGACAGCTGGAAGATCCCCTGACTCCAAGCCTGTTCTTTACATACACACTGGCTGCCTTGACAGATTATAATCCTGCCAAGCAGGAGATTACACATAGATGACTTATCTGAGGGACCCAGTGTCAGAGGTCCAAACCCTACTCATGGGGAATGCTCTAGCGAGGTGATATGGAGTGAACGTTCTTTGCTTACCTAGATTCACTTTCTGAGCTGTGCCGTTTGCCTGCTGTATGACTTTGGACAACTTACTGATCCTCTGCACCTCTGCTTTCTTGCCCATAAAGTGCACAAGCCCTAGGCAGCAACCCCATGGGGGGATAGCAAAGGTAAAATGCAATCTAACAGCTGACACCAAACACTTCCTGAAATTTAACTCATTAACCCTTTGCAAGCCAATGGGGTAACCATTTAGAGTGGAGGAAACTGATGCATAAAGAGATGAAGTGACTTGGTCCAAATTGAACAGGTTAAAGGAAATGGATACACTCAAATTTAAAGCTTGGTGCTCTGACCCAGTGTTACCCTGTCAGCAGCCCTGGGTCAGCCTTCAGCATGTCCCGGTGTATCTGAAGGTTACCATCCTACTGGCCTATCAGATTCCTCAAGGCTTTGGTGATTTTCTGCTTGTTTCCAGGTTGGGAACAGAAGGAAAGGCACCGCCTCTGGTCCCATTCCTCCCAGATGCTGCTTCCACAGGGTGTCCAGCTCCTTCCCCAGATCCTACGGAGTGCTCATCCACACCAAACACCCCATAAGCCACTCTGAAGATTTGGGGTAACTGAGAAGGGTGTCCTGGGGTAAACAGCCTTTGGCTATTGGCCACACTGGCTCCCACCAGCTCCCCAGAAGTCCTGAATCTTCTGCTTATGTTAGGAGAGAATAGAGTCACCAAGCTACAGGTATGGCCAGCTCTGTGGGAAAATTGAAGGATGAAGGCCTGTTGTTCACCATGTCTACCTCCACACCGAAAATGGAAAGACCAACAAAATCCCCTTCCATTGTTATGTATGCCTGTCACCAGGATTGACTAAGAGAAAAGACTGTTGAGGGTCTTGAATGAAAAGTGATATATTAATATAATTGACTGAGAATTCCAGACCCAGGGTTGTGATGGTGACGATGGCACACTTATGGAGGGCTTGCTGCATGCCCGTCCCTGCACTGATTAAGCACCATTACATAATGAGATGAGACTTGCTGATTCTGCTCTGTGTCTAGCATTCCACGTAGTATGCCGTTTCATTTTAAGGGGTGATTTTAAAAAATATTTTATTTATTATTTTTATTTTATTTTATGTGTATATGTGTATTGCCTGCATGTAGGTAAGTGCACTTATTTTACAAGGCTGAGTCTAGGAACCCCAAACTCACAGGTGAGGAGGCTTTGCTCAAAAGCACAAAGCCTGGACTTGGCACATAGTTCAGTTGGTAGTTCTGAGTTCCATCTCCAGGACCCCATAAACCATAAAAGCATGTTGGTGCGTGCCTGTAACCCAGTACTCAGGAGGCAGAGGTGGGAGATTCAGAAAGTTTAAGGTTATCTTCTGCTGTACAGCAAGTTCTAGACTAGCCTGGGGAACATGAGGCCCTGTCAGCAAGAAAGAAAGGAGAGGGGTGAGGAGGGAGAGAGGGAGGGAGAGAGGGAGGGAGGAAGGAAGGAGGGAGGGAGGGAAGGAAGGAAGGAAGGAAGGAGGAAGAAGGGAAGGAGGGAGGGAAAGAAAGAAGAAAAGAAGAGTATAAAGCTGGTAAGGGCCTAGGACCATGTTACATGCACCCCACTCCTACCCAGGCTATGGCTCTGCACAGGACCAAGGCACGCTGGGGCATGGAAAGGACAGAGAAGCAGTTGGTGAGAGGGGTGGTGATGTTCCAGGAGGAGGGCAGGACTGGGGAACAAGGTTGAGGTAGAACAAGCTGGCCAGCCACCATCTAACCCCGGTCTACATCTTTGCTGTGGACCAACTCATGTGTCCTCGTGTCTTTGGACACGCAGCAGGGAGACAGAAAGCCAGCTCTGAGCACCACAGGTCAAGATCCAACCCCCATCTCCTGACTCAGGCAGCTCAGAGAGCCGGCTGCTGTCATAGGGGGGCGGCTCGTTGCCTGCATCCGTCAGCCAGCCGTCATCACCACCCACCCCTGGGTCACGAGTCAGCAGCCCCACTTACCTCCTGCCAGCCAGAGTGCTCAGGCTAGCTCTGTCACTGGCCACTGAGCATTTTGCAAATGTAGGCCTGTCATCCCTGGGTCTGAAGCAAGAGTTCACGCTCCAGTGCATGAGTGGCTGCAGGAGCACACCTGTACAGGATGCACACACACAGTGCACCCAAAAGACATGTTCCTTCCCATGTGTACCATGCCAACTCATGTGTGTTCACTGCTGTGCACCACTGTGCACCCAGAGGCTATCCTGCAGGTCTGTAAATGCAGCCACAGGCCAGCACACCATGCATGCACTGGAGGCAAACACTCACATATGCGCCCATGTTTGCACGCAAAGCACACATTGCCATT